AAAACCCCAAAACCCCAAAACCCCAAAACCCCAAAACCCCAAAACCCCGTCTTTCCTTATTCCCAAATAAATTCAGAATTGATCAATTTAAGCAATATATTAAGTACAGTTTTGTCAGATAATAAATAAAATACTTTATCAATAAAGTTAGCTAATAGTAAATGGAATCTTCTTCAAGCATTCTTGAATCTTAAACCGATATCTAAATAGCAAAACTAGATAAATTCCTAAATAGTATAGTACAGCATGTAAAAGAAACAAAGTAAAGGATTTACTAGTAAAATGAACCTCTTTAAAGAGATTTATCAAAACTAATGCATGGAGTAGTCAGTGAATTAATAGCTCTTACATCACCTTAAGATTTTTATGATTTCCTAGAGTACTATAAAGGAAATCTGGATTATTAAGAGAATTTAGATAACGCTGTACAAGTTAATAAATAATAAGATTAAGCTAGAGTTGATGGTAATCAAGGATACTTCAACCTCTAGATTCAATAGATGAGAGAAGATTTCATCCGATAGTTTTAAGATCTTAAAAAAGAAATGCAACTACAAAGTAATAGTTAGATAGAAAAATTCTAAAAGTTAATAACTTAAAAATTTGGACAAAATGACCTTGTAGCCTAAAATTTGCTAGAATCTTAGTTAAAAAATCAAGACTATGATAAGAATAAGATTGAATAACTGAAGAAAACGATAATTGATTTATAAGAGAGACTTAACTTAGGCATTAGATAATCTAATGAAAGCTTTTTTTCAGACATGGGCAATAGATAGGATTACAAAAATGCTTTTGATGAAATTTTGAATTTACTTGGGGAAGATTTAAGCAGAATAGAGGAAAGAGAGAAATCTATCTTAGGTAACTAACCTGATGCTTCTTATGATTAAGAGGAATAAAAATAAGCAGAAAATTTGAAATCAAAGGATGGTAGAAAGTCTCATTAAGATCCTACATCTATCTCGAATGGGATTGCAAGTACAAAATTTGAAAGCACCGGCCAAAATGAAATGAACAGTGATAAGTCTGGAATCGGCTATGCTGATTCAATATTATAGCCATCAAGCGAATCAGATGATTCGCAAAATCAAATACTCGATCTCAAAGGAATCCTGGTAAATAGGGATTAAATTAATGAGAGTCTCGATAATTCTAGACATAATGAATCAATAAGATCAAATAGTCAAGGGGATGTCGAGGAATTAGATCAAAATGTTAGCTAAAATGTAATATTTTTAAACGATGATGAAAATCTTATAATTGGATTAAACTACTAATATTCAATGCTAAAACATACTAAGACAGGTGTAATTTAAGCTATGAGATTTAATGATACTATTACATCTATTTTCAAACTCCATAACTATTTGGTGTTTGGGCTATAAAATTCAAAATTGATGATTATTAGTTCACAGGATTACACTATTAAAGCTGAAATTATTATCAGAGCAAAAGCTATGAAGTACTTAATAATTCCTGGTGGGTAAAGGTTTGAATATCTTGCTGTTTTCTGCCAATCAGGACATATTGAAATTATCTCTATTTAAAGTTTTGTAGTGTTAGCATCACTAAGTCATTCAAGTGGGATGGATTTCTCAGATGCTGCTCCCACAAGTAAATATTCTGAGTACATTGTAGGATTCGCTCATAAAAATAGAAATTAATACTTAAATGGAATGATTGCTTCTATTATATTATCCATTCGTGAGGTAAATGGCCCAGAAATCTAAATAATATTTGAGGAGATTGAGAATAGTAAGGTTTATGTTAAGGCAGGTAAAAGTAGTCAAGCACCTATATATTGCTTTGCAGAAGCATAAAAACAAGACCTGTTTATAGTTTGTACTTCAGATACTGAATTCAAATTGTATGACCATACTTAAAGAAAAATACTTCAATAAACAATCCCAAATCCATCTTAAGCTGAAAATTTTAACTACTTGTAGAAAGTTTGCTTTTATTCTTAGCAGTATCCCTATTTGATTTATAAGGATTCCAGAAGTGTTGGATATATTGATTGTACAGATTTTGTTGCTCATAAAATTAGTGAATGCTTATTTAAACACAATGGTAATCATCATACTCTACATCAAAAAGAGATGTAAAGCCCTGGGCAGCTTTTATTGCATACTTTATGGTATACTCCAGAAGATAAATCAAAGAATATATCTCTGGAGAGAAAAAATATCAATATAAATGTAATATTGAAGAAAAAGGAGAATTTACAAAATTGATATTAGAAAGTTAAGCTGGGATATAATAATTTAATATTTGTTGCACTCAGATATCAACCATGAATTTTAATTCCAACAAATTTATTAAATCTTAAGTATTCAAATTTAATTTTATTTTTTTATGTGGGGTTTTGGGGTTTTGGGG